GGGACCCAGGGGCCGCCCCGCGCGCGCGAACTAGAAATACTGTTAATACTGTTAACCAGTTACCGGAGATCTTAGCACGCCCTGGCCCGTTGGGCCGGCGAATTATCTTGCCCAGTGTGTTTAGAGCTCCGACCACTTAATTCCGCGTCGCACACCCCCCGCCCCCCCCGCGTCCCCAGCGCCAGTGTGGGACCCCCGCGCCGTGGCTCTCTGCCCCGAGCCCCCCCGCGTCCCCAGCGGCCCAGCGGGAGCCCCGCCCACTGCCCCCTTCGCCACGAACGCTTTATTCCGCGTCGCACACACACACACACACGCACCCCACCTCCGTGTCCCCCCGCGTCCCCAGCGCCAGGGTGGGACCCCCGCGCCGTGGCTCTCTGCCCCGAGCCCCCCCGCGTCCCCAGCGGCCCAGCGGGAGCCCCGCCCACTGCCCCCTTCGCCACGAACGCTTTATTCCGCGTCGCACACACACACACACACGCACCCCACCTCCGTGTCCCCCCGCGTCCCCAGCGCCAGGGTGGGACCCCCGCGCCGTGGCTCTCTGCCCCGAGCCCCCCCGCGTCCCCAGCGGCCCAGCGGGAGCCCCGCCCACTGCCCCCTTCGCACGAACGCTTTATTTCCGCGTCGCACGACACCACCACACACCGCCCCCCCCCCCCCGCGTTTCCCAGCGCCAAGTGTGATGACCCCCGCGCCGTGGCCCCCCCGCAACCCCCGACCCCACCTCCACCCCAACCCCCCCACACCACCACCACCACCAACCAACCACCACCACCGCCGCCGCCGCCACCCACCACACCACACCACCTACCACCACCACAAGCCACCGCACCACCACCACACCACCACCACCTACCATCCACCACCACGCACCACCCACCACCACCCACCCCACCAACCACGCTCCCGCCCCACCCCCGCCACCACCAACCACCACCACCACCTCCTCCACACCACCACCACCACCACCACCACCACCACCACCACCACCCCACCACCACCACCACCACCACCACCACCACCACCACCACCACCACCACCACCACCACCACCACCACCACCACCACCACCACCACCACCACCACCACCACCACCACCACCACCCCCACCACCACCACCACCACCACCACCACCACCACCACCACCACCACCACCACCACCACCACCACCACCACCACCACCACCACCACCACCACCACCACCACCACCACCACCACCACCACCACCACCACCACCACCACCACCACCAGCGCGACACCGCCCCACGTCCAGTGCCCTCCCCACCCTGCCCCCCTCCGCCCCGACCATTCAATTTCGGCGTCGCACCGCCCCCCCCGTCCAGCCACTCCAACCGTTCCCCCCTCCCCAGCCGCCCAGTGCCCTCTGCATCCCGGCCCCCTCCGCCCCGACCACTTTATTTCGGCGTCGCACCGCCCCCACCGCCCCGCCCCTCCCGCGCCTCCACCACCCACCCACACCAACCACCACCACCACCACCACCACCACCACCACCACCACCACCACCACCACCACCACCACCACCACCACCAGCGCGACCCCCTCCGCCCCGACCATCTTATTTCGGCGTCGCTCGGCTCCCCCGTCCCGCCCCCCCGATCGTTCTCCCCTCCCCGCCCGCCCAGTGCACCCCGCCCCCCCTCCGCCCCGAGCATTTTATTTCCGCGTCGCACCGCCCCCGCCGTCCCGCCCCCCGAGACTTCTCCGATTTCTCGTCCCCTCTCTCCCCCCCTTTCCTCCTCCTCCTTCTCTTCTTCTTCCTCCTCCTCTTCCTCATCCTACTCCTCCTCTTCCTCCTTCTCCTCTTCCTCCGTCCCCCTCCGTTTTGTGCAAGAGCCATTGCACGCGTGCCACTTGTTGATGACAAGTTGTTCAGATCCAGGGTTTTTGGAGCTGGCCATGTGTGGGGGGTCTGTTGTCGCTGAGGCACGGCGGCACGCGTATGCAATCGAAGCTGTCTAGTTCCCATTGGAACTTGTCACAGCGGAGCCATTGCGGAGCCACTGCCGTTTGGTTTAAATGCCACCTGGCTGTCTCCGAACAGCCGATGACTCAGTGTACTGTGACATTCCAATTGCTCATCATTGGGTCGCTTGTGAACATGACACCAGCAGTGGCTATAGTCATGGTGGTGTGCCGCAAAGCTACACGTCATGGACCAGTTGATGCATGCTGGGACGGTATCAACAGCAGTTGCGGCTCGATTACGGGGATTCGGCGTTTGCCAGGAATGTTGTCTGCGACTGAGAATTCCTCATGTACCATCTTTCGGGTGGTTAGGCAGTGTCTGGGGGGGAAGGGTGCAGCTTTCGGTGATCCATGGCTTCGCGTCGGATGCCGCGAAGAATGATGTACACATGTATCTGAAGATCTGCCTAACTAGCGATCTGTTTATATCAACGTAGCCTGAACATGTATCTGATTATTTCTTTTCGAACGAAGACCGGATGGTCTACAGTCAACGCGCCAAGTAAGGACGCGCGCCTTCAGCTAGGATACCTTTGTGTCCTTGCCTCTGCGGCCCTTCCTTTGCTGTTTTCGCTGGTCACCCGCCGCCCAAGAAATCCCAACTTCGGCCTCCAAGGGTCTTGCGTCCCTGCCACCCGTCCTTAATACACTGTCTGATTGTAGTACCTCGTAAGCATCCATCGACTTGGGTCATGTACATCTCGAGCGGCCTTCGGCCCATCCCGCCACCGCGCCTGGGCTGTAGGTAGAAAGCTTATTGGATGTTCGCTGGGATCTCGCGGGGGGGCCTCTCGGGGACCTCTTGTAGGCAGTTTGAGGCCTCTTGAGGGTCGTTTTAGGGCCTCTTGTTGGGCCTCTTGGTAGCTTCTTGGGGCCTCTTGGGGGCCTCTTGGGGGGGCTCTTGGACCCTTGGGTGCCTCCTGGGCCCTCCTAGCGGCCTCTTGGGGCGGATGGCTCGGATTTTCAGTTCGTGCTCCCTCTCTTGGGCCCCTTTTGGGGCCGTTTTAGGTCCCTCTCGGGCCGTTTTGGGAGCCTCTTGGGCCGTCCTGGGGCGCTCTTAGGCCGTCTTGGGGCCCTCTTGGAGGCCTGTTGGGCCGTATTGGGGTGGTCTTCGAGCGTCGGAAAGCCGAAGAGGCGAAAATGCAGAACTCCTTCAAAATTCTATGGCAGATCAATGATTTGTGCCTCTTGGGGTCTTCTTGGGAGGCCTCTTGGAGGCTTCTTGGGCCATCTTGGGGCCACCATGGGCGTCTGGGAGCGATTGTTCGGCGACTCGGAGCCCTCTTGGGTTTATGGGAGGGCTCGGGAGGACGCTTTAGGGTGGCACTACGTCAACAGGAGTCACAGGAAAGGCATCAGATCTCACAGGAGCCAGCCCGGGAACCCCCGGGAATGCTTGGAACAAGATTGGTCCGGGCCCTGAAGACTTACAAGTCTCACTGCAGAAGTAGCACAGCGTCTGCCTCTCGCTCCCACTCCGTCCCAGAGGCACGGTACCGGACAGACCAGTCCATTGAGGAATCCAATTCCAAAGTTCTACCCGATCGGCAGTCCTATATATATATATATATATATATATATATATATAGATACACACACACACACACTTCTACAGCGATCAGTATGATTACCAATGTATTTTACCATCTATGTATATTGTTTTATCATCCCCCTTCCTACTTATGAATGTAGAATGGGCTTCGGCCCAACCCGCCACCGTGCCTGGGTTGTGGGTCATAGGCGTTTAGGATGCTCGGTGGGATGTCGCTGGCAGCCTCTCGGGGGCCTCTGGGGGCCGTTTTGAAGCCTCTTGGGGGCCGTTGGGGGGCACCTTGGCTTGTCTTGGGGGCCCCAATTGGGGGTCTTGAGGCCTCTTGGCAGCCTCCCAGGGGCCTCCTGGGGGCCTCCTGGAGCGGAAGATTCGGATTCTCGTCACGTGCTCGCTTTAAAAGGAGACGTTGGGGGGGACGTGACGCGCGATCCTCTGTTGTCTCGGCGCAGGGTGTGCACACCCTATTTGTCCACCGATAGACGATCAGTTCCACATGCAGTGCACTCTTGATTCATACTTCCAGTACGCAAGGCAGCAATGCACCATCAGACTTTACCACGTTGCTGTCGAGTTGGTAGCGGAGCTGGCCACACACTCGTGCGGTCGGCTCCCATATTTGGTCTTATTTATCACTCGTTGGCACGTTCAGTGTCCAGAACCCGCCCCCCCCCCATGGGCATGGGTCCACCATGATGGGTTCCCTCCTTTTGGGCGTGGTGTGGTGTGAGATGGTGGTGGGGGGTGGGGCGGAGGCGAAGCCCGTTTCCACTCCCGGAATCTTCCTTTCGTCTTTCGAGCCGCTTTGGTTGTCTGGGCGTCGCCTTCGATCCACAGGTTACCCAGGGCCCTATGGGCTCCAGGCCGGTCTCTGTCAACCGATTCCATCTCTGGGAGGGAGAGGGGCGTAGTATCCCTGGAACCTGGATGACTCAACATGCCGAACCCTTGCCGTTGGTTGTGGGGCGGTGTCTCCCCGATGCCATGACTGGCACCGAACAGGGTGCTGACAGCTTTCATGTGGTGTAGAGCATTCGTAGACATCGGAGCGTGCCGCGGAGGAGCAGGCCCATCATTGTCAGCAGCGCTGCAATATTGTATACAGGAGGGATGGCGAGCCGCATCCCCAACGAAACTCGAAGTTCTGGTGAATGTCGGCGCGCGTTCGGATTCGAAAACGCTCTCCGATGAGATCCGGAATGGGCACGGAATGCTGCCCCCCCCCCCAGGTTTGCTAATTGTTTGCCCCTGGTTGGTTTCGTTTGACCGTGCGTTATTCCGTTCATGCGCCTCGCCGTCCTTGCTTCTGCAACCCCCTTTCTAATCCCGATATTTCCTGTTGATGAGGGTTGGCCTCTTCCTTCTAATTCCAACACTTCCTGCTAATTCCAATAATTCCCAACTTCCTTCCAATACTTTCTAATTCCAATACTTCCTATTTGATTCCTTGTGACTCTGGGCAGGGCGGTGGCATGATGTCTAGCACAACAACCACAACCAAGACTGTCAACGGGAAGCGCGTCACGGTCACCGAGAAGACGGTGAGGACGATCCCGCCTTGAGCTCTTCGCTTGGTGTAGCGTCCAGTCCAGGTGCTGAAATGAGGAACAGTTCGGGTTCGGAAGGGGCTCGCCGCTCCCCAGGTCCGTCAATTGGTTGTTCCTCTAGCGCTCCCCGTGCACGCAGGCGCTACTGGGGCCAAAAGGAGGCTCGGCCTGTAGCGCTCCGTGATAGTAGCCTGACTGCAACAGACCCGCACTCATGGAAGGAGGAGGTGGACTACGGTTACGGGTCTGCGTGTTTCCTCCCACCAGCGTTGTTTCGTGGAGACGTGATCTGGGATGGGAAATTTGCGACCAGTCGGCCAGGCATCCAGAGAGCCATCCACCTGGCCGAACGCGAGTAGTTGCGGATTCAGTGCCTGAGGCGATGGTGTGTAGGCACGTGGTCGGCTTCCCTCCTGCTCCGTCTCGAACCTCGAACTGCGATCCTCCCCGTCCTCCCCCCTCACATCCCCCCTCACCTTCTCTCCTCTCCCCCCCCTTCTCAGGCAAAGGTCCCCGTAGGGCCCAAGTTCGAAAAGGGCGAAACTAACTACTCGTCGCCGTCGACCCCGCAGGACCCAGGTTTCGATCGTCGTCGTCGTCGCTGTTTTCGACGTTGTCCCCGTCAGTTTTTTGTCTTCCTCCGCCTCCTCCTCATCACCATCTCTGAACTTCTCTCCCCCCCTTCCCTGTCCTCTCTTTCCCCCTGGGCAACGGCAGCACCACGAAGGCTGGAATCAATGTCAGGTCAGAGCCAAGTCACCCGAAGAAGTCTGGTTTCCGCTTCTCCGTAGCCCGCACCCTTGATGAAGAGGAGGAGGAGGAAGAGGAGGAGGAGGAGGAGGAGGGGGAGGAGGAGGAGCAGGAAGATTAGGAGGATCAAGGTCAGAGTGGGGGGCCGAACGGTCATGCACTTTCGCTGGAAGCGTGGCAGAAGTGGGGTTCCGCGGTGGAGATGTTTGTTGCGTTGTTGTTCGTTGTTGATAATTGTTGTTGCTGTTGCTGTCGTCGTCCCACACGCGACCCGGCCCGCGACCCACCCACGACCCGCCCGCGACCCACCCGAGACCCACCCGCGACCCAACCGCGACCCAACCGCGACCCACCTGCGATCCACCCGCGACCTACCCATCATTCTTATCCCCTTAGTGGGGTGCCACATCTGTTGGCGTGTTCGGCCTTACTTCTGAGGCGGTGACAGGGAAAAGGGGGAGAGGGGGAGGGAAGGGGAGAAGAAGGGACAATGGGGAAGGGGAAGCTGAGGATGATGACGAATGGATCTCCGCGGGGATCCTCGGAAGTCTGCGGAGGCCCACGTAGGCCTCCAGAGGCCCCCAAAATACCCGAGGGCCTCGATGTTCCTCGTCCTCCTCCCCCTCACTCCCCCAATCGTCCTTGCCGCAGTCCCTCTTCCCTTCGCCGTCCCCCTACCCCTCGCCATCGCCCCCTATCTACTTCCCCATATGGTCGGACCGAGGTAGAAGCTCGAGGTCGGCTCGGGGAGGGTGCCCTAATGTTCTTCGTGTCTGTCGGATGTTCTTGTGCATCCTGGGGGAGGGTACCCAAAAATCTTCTGAAGTTTGGCTGGCGGAGTGTCTCATGTTCTTGAAGGATGTTATCCTGTTGTAGGTCCGGCCGTTTTCCACTTCCCCTTCGACCTCGCGCTCCTCATGCCTATCCCCACTCGCCGTCCCACTCGTCCCCGACCTCATCATTATGCTCACCCTTCCCATCGACCCGTCGCTTACTCCCACGCCCCCCAGATTAATGCTAATACTAATAATAAGAAATAATAATAACAATATTATTCTCAATAGAAAGCATACGACGGCGACGACGGGCAGCGCGCCATCGAGGGGAAAAACGCGCTGTGGGCCCTCTCACACTTCTGGTGGAGGCCACGGCAAATCCCAGACTAGCCAGCCGTTGCCCCACCTGTCTGGCAGAAACTCGCCAACGTTCTTCAAACCTTGGGTCTCCGCCTACGCCTCTGGTAGCAGTCAGGCGGGCTTCACATTTCGACAACTTGCCAACGCGAGACCGACGTGCGGAACACACGCTCGAGCAGGTTACCACTTGCCAGCTCCACGAGCGCGAACGATGTAGCGGCGGCCATTCGCAAAGTAGTTAAGAGGCAAGCGCACTACAGCGGGAGGTACAGTAAGTGGCTCCGCTAGGAAGTCTAATATCTATCCGTTTGGCGATGACTCTGAGAGGCGAGTTTGGCAGACGCATACACAACAGCACTCCCAAGACGGAGGGAACGATCGCGATCATCAGACACGTTATCGGCATTGAGGTGTACGGCTCCTTCATTAACGTACAGCTTGGTAACTTAGAACGAATATGTGTGGCAATCCCTCAGAAAGCTTCTTATACTGCATGCATGTCTTATGGGAGGGCAGCACCGTCGACAACGTTCTGGCACGGAGTGCGGACTGTGCAGGCAGAGACAATACACCTGGCTGCAGCACAACATTCCGAGTATTCGCAACTATGAGTTGAAGCTCGCTAAGGGGTAGTGAATGCGATCTGTGTGTCTGGGGCGGCGGAGGAGGGGGTGATGCTCCGAGTGTAAAAACAAGCCTGAGCAGCCGGATCGTCGGCGAGAGCAAACCTAAGATCCGAGCCCCTTCCGAATGGGCGTCGTAAGGGTTGCTGTTGAGGGCCAAGCGCGCCGGCCGAGCGTATGGGGACCCGGCCTTGGAAGCAACGTTGCCCCCCCCAGCGAGCTCCAAACCAAGAGGGGTATGGAGGTAGGGAGGCCAGATGGGCCCACGGATTCTCACCATGCCCTGCTTGTCTCCTGGGCGCGAGGGGGCTACAGCCCAGCCGGATTTCGAGAGTTAGACCACACGGTGTGTGAAACGGGACCCGTCCGCAAACGGGGGGAAGGAGGAGAAGGTGGAGGAGGAGGAGGAGGAGGAGGAAGAGGACCAGTGCAATCCCAAGACTCATCGACGATGTTGGAATACAGTCTCCCTCCAAGCTCTCTCTGCACAGGCCACTACAAGGCTTCATTCCCACCGGGGGGAGTGCCCCGTTGGGAGACAACCGTATGAGGATCTTGAAGCGTGCAAAAAAAAACGCAATTTTCATGGCGCCAACGCCAGGAGTCAACCTGACTGTTGCGTCTTGGCGATCCTGAATCGCGCCTGAACACCACTCCTGGGACTCAACATCTCGAATCAACGTAACTGTTGCGTCCTGATTATCTTGGACCGCTCCAGAACACCAGGGCCTGCACGTTAGCCTTGAGAATCAGTCAAACGCTGGCAGATGCTTGAAACGAATGTGCGCGCCGCCAAAATGAGAGCCAAAGGAACCGCCCTCCATCCGTGAAACCCTTGCAAATGTTTAAAACGAATGTGCGCGGCTCTCAGGCGAGAGCCACATTTTGAAAACGAACCGTCCTCAATCCGTGAAATGTTTGCACATGTTTGAGAAGAATGCGCGCGTGGCTGAGGCGATAACCACATTTTGAAAACGACTTGTCCTCAATCCATGAATTATTTGCAAATGTGTGAAGCGAGTGTGCGCGGCGCTAAGGCGAGACCCACAATGTGGAAGCGACCCGCCCTCCATCTGCGAAGCTCTTGCTAGCTTCACGCGGCCGACAAATGATAAGGGCGTCTCAGGCGAAACGCCCGTCCCGGCCTCGGGGTGATACAGGGATGAGCTAGTCATAAGAAATAGGAACGGAGGCCGCCAGAGAGGAGGTCAACGTACTATCTCCGGCCGTTCCAGGGAGTCTCCCGCCGCTCTCTCTCGGACCTTCCTTCGGGGCATAGCTCGAGACGGTGGGGCGTCAATTCGCCGAGCTCCTTGGCCGCTCCACCTGCGCGGTGTATACATCGTGCCCCATCCGGGCGGGGGCGTGGCAGTTGTAGGGCCTTCGGACCAGGCCCAGGCCCCCGGCGCCGTGATTTTTTCGCAACGTGGACATCCATCAGAGCCCCGAATCATCAGGGGTACCTCGGGTCAGGGATACCTCGGGTTCGTTTTTCGGGAATCCAAACCCGAGTTACCCCGGACCCGAGTTACCCCGGATAACTCGGGCGTCCAGAGCCCCGAATCATCAGGGGTAACTCGGGTCAGGGCTAACTCGGGTTCCTTTTTTCGGGAATCCAAACCCGACTTACCCCGGACCCGAGTTACCCCGGATAACTCGGGCGCCCAAATCCAGAGGTCTCGACCCCTTTCCCGGGACCGTCTCTTCATTCCGAGCAGTTTGTTTCCTTGTCCCGGGCTCGGGCGACGGCCCCCCCGGGGGCCTAAGATGTGGGCACAGCTACAAAGACAGCCCTCGATGTTTCAGGGCGCGAGGTGAGTTTCGCAGCGCCATCGGTTCCGGCCCGCCATATTTCGGTGCGACGCGCCATCAATTTCCCAGTCCCCGAACGTCAATGTCCCGAGCCTTTCCCAGCTTCCCGCCCCGCGGAGCGGAGCGACACGCTGTCCGCTCGCAGGGCATAGCGTGTCGCCAGGGCCGCCGCGGCGACACGCTGGCCAAAACATCCTGACTGTATGGCCCTCAGACGTTGGCCGCAGCGCCCCCAACAAGGCGGGGAGGATGAGGATCTAGGCCTCCCAGATGAGGTCCGAGCAGATGGGGTCGGAGAATCGCGCCGCATCGCCGATGCATCGGCGGTGCGACTCGATGTGGAGCTCGATTTTTGTACACGTCGGCGTCGCCGAGGCATCGCCGATGCATCGGCGATGTATGGGCGGTGCGGCGCGGTCCTCCAACTCCATCTGCTCGGGCCCCACTTGGGAGGCCCTTTCGGAGGAGCAGCAGGAGGACCCCGCGCTGCCCGCGCTGCCGGGCACAATTATCCGAGGAAGGCCGACGGCACCGTGGAGACCACCCGCTCGGAGTCCTCCGCGGACGGCGGTGGCGGCGGCGGCATGCTGCAAGGCCCGGGGCAGAGAGGAGGGCTGCAGCGCCCCGCAGGAGTCGGTGTGATCGAAATGGGTACGTAAAGACTGGGTACGAAGACCGACGGCAGCTCCTGGCCATTTTGAACAGGGTTGGCTGGGGGCGTTGCCGCGGACTTTGCCCATCCGAGGCAGGAGGCCGCCTGCCCACTAGTGGCCGCGGTCGGTTTTTAACAACATCTGCTGCTTTGGCAGCGCACCCAGCTTTTCCCAAACAATGTTTGCACTTAGGGGTTCTTACTTCTATGATAAGGAACTGCGCCCAGGTGTCGGATCCGACGCCTTGTTGTCGCCGTCGCCGCCCCGTCGCCGCCTCGTCGCCGCCCGTCGCCTGGGCCCCAGTGTCGGGTCCGCCGCCTTGTTGTCGCCGTCGCCGCCCCGTCGCCGACCGTCCTCGGGGCCTGGGCGGCGGTCTGGTGGCTATGTTGTAGTCGTCGCCGTCCCGTCGTTTTGCTCCACATAAATTGCTCCGGTGGGATGTGCCCAGGGGTCAGCACCACCGCGGCTGCGTCGGTCGCGCCAAAGTGCATGCGCGCGTGCGTGCGCGGGTTGTCGCGGCCGCAAAGATGCACCAGCCAACGCCAAGCACTCATCGCAATCGCCGCCGCACGGGGTTTGCAAACCAAGTTGCGGGTGGGTGGGTGGGATGTTTGCGCGAGCAGTGGGGTGGACAAAATCAAGTTGAGTATCGTATCTCTTTTCTAAAGGAAGAATAAACTCTATCTACCCCCCCGGAGTTAACGGTACCCCCTGGGGTATTTCGATTTTTAGATTTGTTTTGCACACTCGTCCATCCTAAAGAAGAAATCATAGTATCCCAACCAGGCCGGTATCACTCCCCCCCGCCATCCTCTGCAAAAACACTATGCGCGCGCTCTCGTTCATTACAAGTCAGAAGTGTTCAAGAATCCCCTGCAACAAATGGGACGAAGTGCACATGCGCGCGTCGTCGCGCGCTTGCCGAAATCGCTGCAAAAACTCAAAATTCGGAAGGATTTCCAAATCGAGTTTCCAAAGCTTGCGCGCGCTATTGCGAAATATTGCGGAAAACATACGGCTTTCAACATTTTCAAAAGAAAAAAACTAACAAACGGGCTTCGCGCGCGCATGTCGAAATCTTTCGAACGCCCTTGCGCGCGTGCCGTCGCGAGAATCCTCCACAAAAAAAGACGAAGTGCAGATGCGCGCGTCGTCGCGCGCGCATGCCGAAATCCTTCAAAACCTTCGGTTTCGGAGGGATTTCGAAATCGTGTGTCCAAAAAACATGCAAAACCGCAAGGTTTCGCGACACGGGTTTTCAACCAAAAGCGTGCGCGCGCGCTCCTGCGTCGTCGTCGTCGTCGTCGCCGTCCTCCGTCTTCCCTTGTCGTCGTCGTCGTCTTCGTCTTGGCGTCGTCGTCGTTTCCGTCGTCGTTGTCGCCGTGGTCATCCCTCCTCCCTCGTCGTCTTCGTCGGCATTTCGGCGTTGTCCTTCCTATTGCGTCGCCGTCATCGTCGTCGTCGTCATCCCTCCTCCCTCGGCGTTGTCGTCGTCGCCGTCGTCGTCCTCCCTCCTCCCTCGTCGTCTTCGTCGGCATTTCGGCGTTGTCCTTCCTATTGCGTCGCCGTCATCGTCGTCGTCGTCGTCATCCCTCCTCCCTCGTCGTTGTCGTCGTCGCCGTCGTCGTCCTCCCTCCTCCCTCGTCGTCGTCGTCTTCGTTGGCGACGTCGTCGTCGTCATATTCGTCGTCGCCGTCGTCGACGTCGTCGTCGGCGTCCTCGTCGTCGTCGTCGTCGGCGGCGTCGTCGTCGTCGGCGCTGTCTTTGCCGTCGTCGTCGTCAGCGTCGGCGTCGTCGTCGTCGTCGGTGTTGTCGTCCTTGTTGTCGTCCTCGTCGAAGTCGTTGGAGACGTCGTCGGTGTCGTCGTAGTCCTTGTCGGCGGCGTCGTCGTCGTCATTGTCGCTGTCGTCGTCGGCGCCCGTGTCCCTGCCAAGTGCAATTTGGTACCCACCGTCACGGTCTTGTCTGAAGAGGTCTTGCGACCAAGTTGCGGGTGGGAGGGTGGGATGTTTGCACGAGCAGTGGAGAGGACAGCTTCAAGTTGAGCAAGTGAGTCAATTCCCCTTTCTAAAAACAGAATAGTTCTACCCCCCCCGGTGTTATCAATCCCCCTTTCGGGTATGTAAATCATTTATGATTATGACCACATGTCCATCCGAAGAATGAATTTACACTATCCCCAGGGGGCCGGTATCCCCCCCTGAGGTTCCCTTGTGAAAAACACTATGCGGTGACACTTTTTTCTAACATAACACTTTTTCACGAATCCCTTGCAAAAAAAAAGACGACGTGCACACGCGCGCGTCGTCGCGCGCGCATGCCGAAATCCTTCAAAAAACCTTCGGTGCCGGAAGGATTTCGCAATCGAGTTTCCAAAAAACACACACACACACACACACGCACACACACACACACAAACACAGGGTTTCGCAACACTGATTTGGTAAAAAAACTTCCGCGCGAGCTCTTGCGAAATCTTAAGAAACCCATCGGTCATTCAAGATTTTCACAAAATGCTATTAAGCGGGCTCCGCGCGCGCGCATGTCGAAATCTGTCGAACGCCCTTGCTCGTGTGCCGTCGCGAGAATCCTTTGCAAAAATGGGACGACGTGCACACGCGCGCGTCGTCGCGCGCGGATGTTGAAAACCTTCAAAACCCATCGGTTTGGGAAGGATTTCAAAATTGTGTGTCCAAAAAACTTACAAAACCAAAGGTTTCGCAACACGGATTTTCAACAAGAGCGGGCGCGCGCGCACGCTCTTGCGTCGTCGTCGTCGTCGTCGCCGTCCTCCCTCCTCCCGCGTCGTCGTCGTCGTCGTCGTCGCCTACGTCTTCCTCTGTCTTTCCTCGTGTTCGTCGTCGTCGTCCTCTTTGGCGTCGTGGTCGTTTCCGTCGTCGTTGTCGCCGTGGTCGTCCTTCCTCCTCCTCCCTCGTCGTCGTCGTCGTCCGTCGTCGGCGTCTCGTCGTCCCCCGTATTTAGTCGCCGTCGTCGTCGTCGTCGTTGTCGTCGTCGTCTTCCCTCCTCCCTGGTCATTGTCGTCGTCGGCGTCGCCGTCCTTCCTCCTTTTTCGTCGTTCGCGTCGTCGCCGTCCTCCCTCCTCTCTCGTCGATGTCGTCGTTGTCGTCGTTGTCGCCGTCGTCGTCCTTCCTCCTCCCTCGTCGTCGTCTTCGTTGGCGACGTCGTTGTCGTTTTCGTCGTCGTCGGCGTCGGCGTTGTTGTCGTCGTCCAAGTCGTCGGAGACGTCGTCGGTGTCGTCGTAGTCGCCGTCGTCGTCGTCGTCGGTGTCGTCGTAGTCGGTGTCGGCGGCGCCGTCGTCGTCGTTGTCGCTGTCGTCGGCGTCGGTGTCGTGGCCAAGTGCAATTTGGTACCCACCGTCACGGTCTTGTCTGAAGAGGTCTTGCGACCAAGTTGCGGGTGGGAGGGTGGGATGTTTGCACGAGCAGCGGAGAGGACAGCGTCAAGACGGTCAAAGATTATTGCACTACATAGATGGCACAACGCACGTAGGTTCTCCTGCCAAGAGAGTATTAGGATCTCCCCCCCGGACTTCACGGGCCACCTTGTCGCAATGCAACGCACAAGCCTTTTCTACCACATCACCGATCCTAAACTTGAGTTCGTATCAGCCAAACCAAGCTGCTACCGGTGCCCCCCTCATCTTCAGCAGAACATGCTATGCGCGCGCATTCGGTTATCAAGAACATCAGGTTTCCAGAACTCCTTGCAAAACACATTGGCCGAAGTGCACTAGCGCGCGCCATCGCGCGCGCATGCAGAGATCTGTCAAGAACCTGAGGTGTTAGTATAGATTACAACATCGAGTGTCCCGACTTCATACACACGCAAATCGTTTTGTCATTCGGGTTTTTACCAACAACGCTAATACGTATCAACAAATGCGCCAGAACTCTTGCAGATTCTTTACAACACTATATATTCTGCAACATGTGCATAGGATTATACCACGAGGGCCTCTCGCGCGCGCGTGGCGAAATCGGTGGAACGCACCTGCGCGCGCGCTGTCGCACGAATCTCCTGTTGCAGAAAATTGGGCGAAGTGCACACGCGCGCGGATGCCGAAATCTTTCAAAAACCTTGGTTGCCGTACGGGTTTCCCCAAAAAGTTCCCCAAACATATACGAACACGCAGGGCTTTGCAACAGGGATTTTCAAACACGCCTGCGCGCGCGCCCTTGCGAAGCCTTAAGAAACCATTCGCTTTTCAACATTGGCATCACATTACGTCTAACGGGCCTCGCGCCGCATGCCGAACTCATCTGAACACCCTTGCGCGCGTGCGGGGGTGGTACGGTCCGTGTCAACTAATACCACGCGGGCCACTCGCGCGCGTCGGCCGCGCGCGCACGCCGAACTTCTTCCAAACCCTTTTATCACCGACCCGGGGACATCGTCATCGTTACCGGCGGGCGTGATCAACATCGGCGCCGTCATTGCCCTGCCGTCGTTATCGTCACCATCATAGCTGCTTTCATGTTCGTGTCTACCGTTGTCGGCGTCGCCATGATACCACGCCCGCCCGTGTCACCGATTCGCACTGAAGCTCCCGCTGGGGAGTACCCAGCGGTTATCGCCACCGCGGCCGCGTCGGTCGCGCCACACTAGCTGGCAGCTGCGCGCGCCAGCATGCGCGGGCTAGCGCGGCCGCTGAGATGCACCAGCCAACGCCAAGCACTCATCGCAATCGCCGCCGCATGAGTTTTTTCAAACCAAGTTGCAGTTGGGTGGGTAGGATGATTGCGCGAGCAAGGGAGTTGGCCACTCACTGCGAGCACTGGTGAACTGCATCGCACAAAACTGCACCGCATAACTTGCGCTACATAGGTTTCCCTTTCTTTCAAAATCATACATCTATTCTACACCCCCCCCCCCGGATTTTCCGCAGCCTTTTTCGCATTACAATGTGCATGCGGTTCTGCC